GGGGGGGGGGGGGGGGGGGTGTATAGATCAGGGATCAGGCAGGAGAGCCACAGACAGCCCAAAGGGGAAGACTGGAGGCTGCATCTCCTCTTTGTAGTCGAGCGAGGAGCGACCTGTACAAAGCAGCTTCATGGGGACCAGCCTGCCCAGCCCTAGTAGCACCAGTGCTGCAGCAGCACAGGCCCCGGGCAGATGCTGCCTGCATCCAGCCCCCCAGCAGCGGGACTGGCACCGCCTGCCAGGGGGAGGCTCCCACCTGCCTTTCGGGAGACACAGAAGCCGAGGCCCGGCTCTGCGGGCACAGAGCCCAGGAAGGGGCTGGGGCTGGCTCCACGCCCTCTGCTTCGCGGGCAGCCCTCAGCCAGGGGCTGCGCAGAGGCAGGGGGCAGCACGCCGGTGGCAGCCCCTCCTCTCCCCCAGCCAAGCGCAGGGGCAGGAGCAGGGGGAGGCCCCTTCAGTCCAGGCCTCCAGCTGCTTTGTCCTGGCCGCTGCCCAACGGGAGGCAGTGTCCGTCCCTGGGGCCCAGCAGGGTGTGTGTGGGGCAGGGAAGGTGCGACCTTCACCAGGGAGCCCTGCATGGCCGTGACCTTGCCTCCCAGCAATGCCACACAGCCAGGAGGGGGGCACAAAGGGGGGGCAGCACTACACCCCCCAGGCAATGCAACGCCAGGCCCCGCAAGGGGAACCCGACGCAATGCCATGCAGCTCCACACAATGCAATGCAATGCAACAATGCACGGCACTGCTTAAACAAAACGTTTCGTGCCAGGCAACCCAACCCAACCCAACGCACGGCAATAACGCAATGCAAAGCGACCCACCGCAACGTTTAACATGATGTTTAACGCAACGCAAGGCAACCCAGTGCCATGCAATGTTGCATGGGGTTGCCTTGCCACGCAAGGCAATGTTTAGCGCGACGTTTAATGCAAGACAACCCAGCGCGAGAAAGCAATGCCTGATGCGATGCTCAATGCAAGCTGTGGCCCCCCAGCCCCGCTCACCTTCACAGTGCTGGGCACGGCACGAAGAAAACGGCGGCAACGGCGGCAGCAGCAGCACCCACCCGCAGCGCCCCCCTGGCTGCAGCAGCCGCCGGCCGCGGAGTCGGGCTGAGGGCCGGGCTGGGAGCGGGAGCGGGAACGGGCCGGGAGCGGGTCGGGGTGTGGGGCCGGCCGGGCTGGCTGTGTGGGTGCGC